CTACAAACTGTTGAGCCAACTACCTACTCTCAAGCGGCTAAAAATCAGAATTGGCGTACTGCAATGTCGCAAGAGTATCAAGCTCTCCAAAACCAAGGAATATAGGACTTAGTTCCACCATCTCCAACTCAAAATGTTCTTGGTTGTAAGTGGATGTTTAAAACCAAATTGAATTCGGATGGATCTATAGCAAGATATAAAGCTAGATTAGTAGCTAAAGGCTTCAATCAAGAGCAAGGCATTGATTATACTTAGACGTTTAGTCCGGTAGCAAAAATGCCTACCATTTGGGTTCTCATCATTGTAGTACAAATGGGAAATACATCAATTAGATGTTTCTAATGCCTTTTTACATGGGGCATTAACCGAAACTGTATTTATGCAACAACCTCAAGGATTTCAAGATACTACTCACCCTCATTATGTATGCAAGCTAAAGAAGGCCTTGTATGGTCTTAAACAATCTCCAAGAGAGTGGTCGGTATGCAACATTATCAAATCACCTACAAGATTTTGGATTTCAGATGAGTGCTGCGGATCCATCGCTTCTGAAATACAAAACTGATTCAGTTCGGATGTATATATTGATATATGTGGATGACATCCTGTTAACAGGCAACTCATAAACTGAAGTTTCCAGACTTCTTAGAAATCTGCATCAGCGATTTCAAATGCGTGATCTTGGATCCTTGAATCAATTTTTGGGTATACAAGCGGTATCAAAATCCTATGGCATTCTGCTTCATCAGCAAGCTTATGCAAATAGGATATTAGAGCAAGCAGGTATGCTCAATGCAAAACCTGTATCAACTTCTGCACCAATCAAAACTATACTTACTATAATGTCAGAAACAGAATTTGAAAATCCACAGCTTTACCGGACAGTGATTGGCTCATTACAATATTTAACACTTACTCGGCCAGATATACAATTTGCTGTACATCAACTTAGCCAGCAAATGCATCAGCTCTGAATATGCATTTTGAAAATCTCAAGCGCTTACCGATGTTGAGTCTAGTAATTAGGTTGTTAATCCTAAGTGAATGTCCCAAGGCTACCAAGAGGGGGGGTGAATTGGTAGTTTAAAAATTTAAGTCCCCTTTTGAAAATTATTGAACCGAAATAAAAGACAAGAAAAACCACCCAAAAACTGCAAGTTTTCAATTCTGTACACAGTGGATCGTCCCGTAAGATCGTGGATCATCCTAGACGATTTTACTTAAACGATCTGAAACGACCTTATTTGAATATGTGTACGAAATTTTTTCGTACAGCTGATCGTCCTGTACGAACTACGTTTGTCCAGTACGAACGGTTATTTCAAGGTCGGTTCTAGAAACTGCTTTAAACTGTTCTAAGTCGGTTAATCGTTTGGACGAAAATATGTTCGTCTGGACAAAATTTTTACAGAGATCCGATCGTCCTGGACGATTCTTGACTTCATCTGGACGAAAATTTTCCAGGGAACCAATCGCCACGGACGATAATTTATTTTCTTCTGGACAAAAATTTTCTAGAGACCAGATCGTCCTGGACGATTTTTAATTTCGTCTGGACGAAATCTTTCCAGATGACCAGTCGCCACGGATAATAATTTAATTTCGTCTAGACAAAAATTTTACAGTGAACCAATCGTCCTGTACGAG